TTTATGACAACCACCAAATATATAAATTAAGAAAAAGCCTACATTATAGAATGAAAACTCTATATCATTTATCTTACAATTAACTTACACCTAAATTACAGGCTTCGATGAATTTGATACAACAGAGTTGAAAATAAGCTTCCAATTTCTCCTAGGAAACTGATGGGCATCCTACTTCCAATGAGGGTTGATAGTCTCAGATCTGGTCTAATCCAGAGCTCTTCCCACATTGAATAAGGTCTGTTGATCCTTTTCTCTATACCATGACTGCCATAGAATCCCATTGTCCAATATAGTACCCATTATTTGCATGTGGTTCTGTAAGTTTAACTTAATTAAAATGAAAAATCAGTTTCTCAGTTGAACTACCTACATTTCAAGTACCCAACAGCCACACGTGTCTATTGCATTTGATAGCACAGATACAGAGCATTTCTAACATTATAGAAAGTTCTAATGATGCGCTGCCCTAGAATGTTGCTTCTGTGTCATTTTTGTGAAAAATTCCTAGCCTTTTCTTCTGTAATTGCTCAATGTGCCAGTGTAACTAATAAATTTATGGTAGAAAATTTGAAACAGGCAAATCCAATAAAACTAAAATCACTTATCTCTTACTACCCAGAGATGAATATGACATTTTGGTGTATTTTCTTCCAGTCTATTTTCTAGGCATCCATAAACAGAAATAGGTCATAGAATTCCACTATATTAGAAATATTTTTCTATGTCATTACTTTTTTTTTTTTTAAGATTTTTATTTATTTATTTGAGAGAGAGAGAATGAGAGAGAGAGAGAACACATGAGAGGGAGGAGGGTCAGAGGACGAAGCAGACTCCCTGCCGAGCAGGGAGCCCGATGCGGGACTCGATCCCGGGACTCCAGGATCATGACCTGAGCCGAAGGCAGTCGCTTAACCAACTGAGCCACCCAGGCGCCCTCTATGTCATTACTTTTATGACGTCATTTTTAATTGCTGCATAGTATTTTATTATACAGTTTTTTTCTGTATTGTTTATGGTGCTCCAACTTTTCACCATCGCAATTATGGATACTGTGGACATTCTTGTAGTTAAATCTTTGCCCTTATCAATTATTGCTTCATTTGTATACATTTTGAGAATCAGAACTTCTAAGGCTGGGACTGCTGAGTCAGAGACTATGCCAAGTTTTCAGGCTTTTGATACAAATTGACACCAGAAAATGTATGCAGTACCAATATACACACCTCCCAGCACTGTTTCAGAAAGACCATTTCTGTCTCTCCTAGCCAACTCTGGGATTTTTCTATTTTGTGTTCTTTTCCATTTTGGTAAGGGAAAAATTATATTTCATTCACATGTATTTATGTATTTATTTTCATATGTATTTATTTATTACTGAGGCTAAACATCTCCATGTCTTTACCAAATTGTATTTCTAAGATGATTTGCTTCATGTAATGTGATTGTGGGATGATTTTAAAAAAATACAATATATGGTTAACTTATTTGTCATAGAGTAATTGACTATATAACTATTGCCTTATTTCCGGACTCTGTTCTGTTCCATTGATCTATGTTTCTATTTTTGTGCCAGTACCATAGTGTTTTGATTACTACAACTTTGTAGTATATCTTGAAATCTGGGATTGTGATGCATCCAGCTTTGTTCTTATTTACCAAGATTGCTTTGGCTATTCAGGGTCTTCTGTGATTCCATACACATTTTAGGATTACTTGTTCTAGTTCTATGAAAAATGCTGTTGGTATTTTGAAGGTATTGCATTGAATGTATAGATTTCCCTGGGTAGTATAGGCATTTTAACAATATTCGTTCTTCCAATCCACGAGCATGGAATATCTTTCCATTTCTTTGTGTCACTTTCAACTTCTTTCATCAGTGTTTTATAGTCTTTGGAGTACAGGTATTTTGCCTTCTTGGTTAAGTTTATTCCTAGGTACTTTATTTTTTTTGGTGCAATTGTAAATGGGATTGTTTTCTTAATTTCTCTTTCTGCTACTTCATTATTAAGTGTAGAGAAATGCAACAGATTTCTGTATATTAAATTTGTATCCTGTGACTTTACTGAGTTATTTTTCAGTTCTAGCAGTTTTTTGGTGAGGTCTTTAGGGTTTTCTATGTATAGTATCATATCATCTGCAAATAGTGAAAGTTTTATTTCTTCCTTACCAATTTGGATGCCTTTTATTCCTTTTTCTTGTCTGATTGCTGTGGCTAGGACTTCCAGCTCTATGTTGAAAAAAAGTGGTAAGAGTAGACATCATTGTCTTGTTCCTGATCTTAGAGGAAAAGCTCTGTTTTTTACCATTGAGTATGGTGTTAGCTGTGGGTTTTTCATGTATGGCCTTTATTATGTTGAGGTATGTTCCCTCTAAACCTACTTTGTTGCAAGTTTGATGAATGGATGCTGTACTTTGTCCAAGGCTTCTTCGCATATATTGAGATGATCATATGGTTTTCATCCTTTCTCTTATTAATGTGATGTATCATGTTAAATGATTTGTGTATATTGAACCACCCTGGCACCCCTGGAATAAATTCCACTTGATCATGGTGAATGATTTTTTAAAATGCATTGTTGGATTTGTTATTGTTAATATTTTGTTGAGGATTTTTGCATTTATGTTAATAAGAGATATTGGCCTGAATATACAATGGGTATACAGTGGGGAGAAGACAGTCTCTTTAATAACTGGGAGTACTGGGAATAACTAAAAGTACTGGGAAAACTGGACAGCTACATGCAAAAGAATGAAACTGGACCACTTTCTTACACCATACCCCAAAATATACTCAAAGTGGATTAAAGACCTAAATGTGAGACCTGAAACCATAAAACTCCTAGAACAAAACATAGGCAGTAATTTCTTTGACATCAGCCATAGATATTTCCTTAAGTGTGTCTCCTTAGGCAAAGGAAACAACAGCAAAATTAAACTATGGAGACTATATCAAAATAAAAGGCTTTTTGCCCAGTGAAGGAAACCATCAACAAAACAAAGACAACCCACTGAATGGGAGAAGATATTTGCAAATAATATATCTGATAAGGGCTTAATAGCCAAAATATATAAAGAACTTGCACAACTCAGCAACAAGAACCCCACAAATAATCCAATTAAAAATGGGCAGAGAACCTCAATAGACATTTTTCCAAAGAAGACATACAGATGGCCAACAGACACATGAAAAGATGCTCAATATCACTAATCTTGAGGGAAGTGCAAATCAAAACCACAATGAGATATCACCTTATACCAGTTGGAATGGCTAGGATAATAAAGACAAGAAATGACAAGTGTTGATGAGGATGTGGACAAAAAGGAACCCTGGTGCACTGTTGATGGGAATGCAAATTAGTGCAGCCACTGTGGAAGACAGTATGGAGGTTCCTCAGAAAATTAAAAACAGAATTACCATATCATCCAGTAATTCCACTACTGGGTATTTACTCAAAGAAAATGAAAACACTAATTTGTGGTGTTTTGTTTTGTTTTTTTAAGATTTTATTTATTTGAGAGAGAGAGAGAGCACAAGCAGGGAGAGCGGCAGGCAGAGGGAGAAGCAGCCTTCCCACCGAGCAGGGAGCCCGATGCGGGACTCGATCCAGGGACTCCAGGATCATGACCTGAGCCGAAGGCAGTCACTTAACCAACTGAGCCACCCAGTCGCCCATGGATTAAGAGTACACTTATGGTGATGAGCACAGAGTAATGTATGGAATTTTTGAATCATTACATTATACACCTAAAACTAATATACCACTGTATGTTAATTATATTTCAATCATAAAATGAATAAATAAAAAATACCACATATGCTTGATACAATATTTTCTACCAGAAAAGAATATGTGCATCATAAACACATGCCATGGGAAGTTTCTTTTTCTTTTTTTTTTTAAAGATTTTATTTATTCATTTGAGAGAGAGAGAATAAGAGAGAGAGAGAGAGCCCATGAGAGGGGGAAGGGTCAGAGGGAGAAGCAGACTCCCCGCCGAGCAGGGAGCCCGATGCAGAGCTTGATCGCAGGACTCCAGGATCATGACCTGAGCCAAAGGTAGCCGCTTAACCAACTGAGCCACCCAGGTGCCCACCATGGGAAGTTTCTTGATGAGACTCTTTATTCTGTCTTTGCTTTTAAATTAGAGTATGTACTTAAAATATTATGTGTTTCACTCCTTTGGAAGCCAAAGATGAATTTTTTTTAAAGAAAAAAAAAAGATAAACATAAAGCTTATTTCCTGATTTCACACTTGTTCATATGTGTAGCTTTTTTCTCCACTGAAGTGTTTGTGTTTCTCTTAGAGATTTTTGAGTTTTTTATAAATCAGGGATATTGAGTTTTTTATAAATCAGGGATATTAATCCTTTGTTCAAGAAACTGCCCCAGTCTTGGTTTTTGCTTCTAGATATAATTTGCAATATTCTCAGAAGTGGAGAACATTCCATTAAGCATCAAAGGAGTAGACAAGCATAAAAGGAATGGAGCAAACCATGAAGGAAAAATCTGACACATCTGGCTGCACAAAAATTTTACTCCTCTATATTTCTCAGTCCTCTTTGCTGGCTCCTCCTCAGTCATCGGTGCAAGGGAGAGGGAGGGACACACAGAGAAGGATGGAAGAACGCTCAAAACGCCTGCCACTTACACACTCAGAACAGTTAAAATACTGGAAACAGGAACTTAAAACCTTCACCTCATCTACATTGTAAGACCTACATTTTAAGTCCATATTACTATTACTATTATTCCATATAGATATTCATAAACACCGTAAGTACCAACAGGAAGAGAGAAAGAAAGAAAAAGAGAGGAGGGAGGGAGGAAGGAAGGGCAGGCAGAGAAAGACATCTAAACCGCACTGGCTTAAGAAGGGTGAAGTGTGGACCGTAATAGGGAGGAAGGATAAGATTCAGAGTTTCTGCCTAAGAAGGATGTTGTGATTTAATTTTAAAGGCTGCAGAATTTGAACACGGCAAGAATGAAACGCCAGTATGTCAGAAGTGGGATTTGAACCCACGCCTCCACCCGGAGACCTGAACCCCCAAGCTCAGGAAGCAGAGAATGGAGTCTGGTGCCTTAGACCACTCGGCCATCCTGACACACCTGTGAGCGCCTGACTCCGTCCAGAATACCTGCGGGGGCAGTGCGAGCTCTGAACTGGGGTTTGCGGAGCGCAGGGGCGCAGGGGGCGAGTTCGCCCGAAGCCAGAGGCTGACCCTGTGGCACGGGGTTGAGGCGCGCAGAGAGCGGGGACCCAGAGCTGCGCCCGCCCCAGCCGGTGGGCATTGGGAAATCGCAGACTCTAGATGTGGGGGTGTCCCAGGCTCACTCCCAGACAAATTCCTCCTCCCCACCTCTTCGGCACCTAGCCAAAGATCATCTCACCTGGTGTCAGCTTTAAAAATCATTCTTACCCTGATGACTCCCAATGTCTGCCCACGGTGCCGCCCTTTCCTCTGAACCGTAAACCCACGCGTCCAACAGCTTTGGAGGAACCACTCAAACATAGCGTGCCTAAAAGGGAACTCCCGAGTGTCCCCCTCAAACCAGTTGTCCCCACAGTTGCGCCCATGCTGCAAATCACTTCTAGTTGCTCAGGTCAAAAAACTCAGATGTCGTTTGAGACTCTTCGCCCTCATACACCGGACTGGATCTTTCAGCAAGATCTACTGACTCAGTCTCTAAAATATATCCACAAATGATTTCTCACCACCCCTCCTGTTATCATCCCAGTCCAAACAAATTACCTTTGTGTCCTACCTGGAAGGTTATAATTGCTTCTGAACTACTTCCTCTGTTTTAGCCTTTGTCTTCTCACACTTTTCCCGCACAACAGCCAGAGCAATGGTCCCTTTAAACCTTAGGGCTACATTTCGTCACCCTTCTGCTCAAAATTTCAAAGGGCTTCACATCTCACTCAGAGCAAAGGCAGGGAGGGGCAGGGAAGACCCTGCACGGCCTGCTCCTACCTCCTGCCTTTGTGATCTCATTGCCGATTGCTCTCCTTCCTGCCGACTGGGCTCAGCCACACTGGTGGCTCTTATTTTGAAGACGCAAGTACTCTCTGCCTCAGGGCATTTGCATATGCTATTCGGGTCTCCTGGAAAGCTCTGCTCTTAGATATCTAATTAGGAGTGCTCTCTCTTCCCTCTGCTCAAATGTCACCTCCTCAGAGAGGTCTATAGCCTATCAACCCCTGGGATCCTGTATTGCTCTGCTCTGCTTTATTTTCCTCTAAAGTACTTATCACCATCAGATATATTATGTAGTTACTTACTTACTTTTAAAATTTGGTTATTGATGACCTTTGCACATCAGAATGTTTTTTTGCCCCATGAAGGCAGGAACTTGGTCTTTTCTTACTGTTCTATTCCACCACCTACAATAGTGCCTTGCTACACAGTTGGTGTTTGTTTAATGAGTACATTTGTATTTCTTCCCTTGTGAATTGCTCCGACCTTTGAATCCTTTTTCTTTCAAGTTTTTAGTGCTTCTCTTATTGGTTTAAAAGATGGATTTATATTTTGGACACATTTACTCTTTGTTGGAGTCATTGTCTCTTCATTTTGATTTGCGTTGACATTTTATGTACAATATCCTCTGAAACATAAAAATATTTAAATTTTACATTGTCACGTGTGTCCATTTTTCTGTTCCATAGTTTATTCCACTGCTTTTATGCCATGCAAAGTCCTTTGTGCATTTCAAATTTAATAAAAATAATCGCACACATTTCCTTGTGGAGTGTTTTTAAAATGTTGACCTTTTCACTCTACCTGGTAGGATCTCCTTTGCTATATGTTGTGACTGACAAGACTGAGGTATGTGAGAATTGACCAGAGCAGGATGAGGAACTCAGAGCTTCTAGAACACATGGTTGGTTGTGAAATTACAGTGAGCTTGTATTTGGAGGTTTTCCTCATCATGGACAAAGCAGAAGGTGTCCCCATCCGGGCTACTGAAATTTTCTCTCTCTCAGCTGATCCTGGAAAAGCCGTGAAGGTCCTGTTGAAAGACTGATCGCGTCCCACCGGTCACTTCTCACCAGGGATCTGAACAGTCCTGCAGAAGTCCTCTTCAGCAACCCAGTTCCTTCCTTTTTCAAGGGGCAGGGCAATACTGTTTGACGGCATATACAGATGGGCAACAAGAATCACATACAAACAGTTCTAACAGAGTGGTTAAAGGGGCTATGCTTTCAATTCCATTCCCAGGTCTAATTGAGGCTCTGGCTTCAAAAGAAAGAAATATCGGTCTTTCCTGTTCTCATTCAGTTCTGAGCTCCTGCCACTAAACGAGCATGCTCTGGCTTCACACCACCAGATCCACAGCTTACTCTGGACAGTGGCTCTTAACTCACACGGCACTCAGTCTAGCAGGCAATTTTGCGTCCCATCAGATTCTCTCTTCTGTACTGTTGTCTCATTGTTCTGTACCTGCATGTTTTATTTCCCCAAAGAGAAACAAAGTGTGTTTTTTTTCCAATCTAACGCACACGGCTTTTGGAAAACATCAAAAAGCATTACATCTGGCTTCATTTGAGCTAAGGTTTCATGCAGCGCATGTGGCAAAGGGACAAAAACTGGTAGTAACTGCCAGCCAGAAGGTTCTCCGTGTGTCGCTTTTGATTACAAAGATCTCTGATCATACATCAGCCATTTTAATCATAAGATCACATAAAATCACTGACCCTCCAAAAAGTGTTGGGTGACAACACGTAGCATAGGTAAAAAGCAAATAATTTTATACTTAATATTCTATTTTACAACTTCTTAAGGCAAACCAACAAAATAATGATTTAGTGTTTCCCCAAAACTTTACACTGTATGTGGCTAAGTCACCTTGCATCTGTGTATAAACTCTTTTTAGATTTTGTTCAAGTGTTTTAAAAAATTAAATTCTAATTTAGTTCAGATTGCAAGTAATTCCCAGACTTTTCAAAATATACAGCCTACATAGAGGGCAAGCTGTGAACTCACAGGGGGTCTGCTGGATGTCATAATGGATTTGTACGTAAATGAAAATTAATCAGCAAGTGAGCAATAGCTGCAAAGGATAAACATCTAAGGTTAAATGAAAGTAGGAGAATTATTTCACTCAGATTAGAAATAAAGAACAGTTTTGGGAGAGTCATGAAGAGAAATGACCATATATATATATATATATATATATATATATTTTTTTTTTTTTTTTTTTTTTTGCCTTACTGATTGGGTAGAGAAAAAGACACAGGAATCCTGAGGGCTCATTTGCTCTCAAGAGGAGGGCAGGATATGAAGCCATTCCTGGAATCAACAAAAATGGTGGAAGAGGAAGGAAGATGGAGGAAAAGCCTAGGAACTTCTTGAGGGTTCAGGATGAATCGAAAGGGTCTACTTCTTGCGAGACCACAAAAAGCAAGACTAGATTAAGTTGTGAATCCAAAATAAGGGTTGAAGACTGAGATACTTAAAGGTACTTTGGTAGAGAAGGGCAAGAAACAAACATTTTGAGTTCCCAGTAAGAGCTAGGAACATCCATGGTCTTAGGATGCCAACTCTCTCCTCCACTATGTAAGAGGCAGGGAGAAGAGACAGGGCTAGGGCTGCCCCTTTCTAGTCATGGACCTTTCAGATTTCGTTTCTCTAAGCATTGGTTTCATGTCACTTACTTTTTTTTTTTAAGATCTATATTTATTTCAGAGTGAGGAGGGAGAGGGAGAGAGAGAATGTCATGCAGACTCCCCACTGAGCATGGAGCTCAATCTTACAACCCTGAGATCATGACCTGAGCCGAGATCAAAAGCCGGATGCTCAACCGACTGAGCCACCCAGGAGCCCCATTTCCTTGTGTTTCCTTAATTACTCCCCTAAATTGTAAATTGCAGATATAATTGTGTGTTTACCTTAGTTACCGTTTACCCTTAGCGATATTGTCAAGTTCAATGTTGTACACTAAAGGGATAACTAATATTAGTTACGCTGATATTTGATCCAGTTACAGGGCTTTATAGGAACACTGGTTAAGCTGACCACAAGTTCATCACCCAGATGACATTGATCCTGCTGGGGCAGCTAATTTAAATTACAGGAACAGGCACCCAGGAGGATGAAAGCAGCTGCTGGGTTGTGAGCCTTGAAAAGTCAAATCTATAAAGTGACAGCAATGGTCCGTAGCCTGTGATGCTTAATACAGGCAGGGAGTGTGAAAGTGATCTGTGATTAGAAGAATGTGAGCATAGCCACATAAAACACCTTTATGTGCTCGTTTGTATCAGTGCCATGCAAGCCAATTAAGGAATTTTTCCCCACCAAGAAAAATGGATAATTGTAGGAGGGGATATTTACATTGGGAATTTTTTTTTTTTTAAAGATTTTATTTATTTATTTGAGAGACAGAGAATGAGAGACAGAGAGCATGAGAGGGAGGAGGGTCAGAGGGAGAAGCAGACTCCCCGCTGAGCAGGGAGCCCAACGTGGGACTCGATCCCGGGACTCCAGGATCATGACCTGAGCCGAAGGCAGTCGCTTACCCAACTGAGCCACCCAGGCGCCCCTACATTGGGAATTTTTGTATTGAAAAAGGCTTCACCAAAAATTATTTAGAAACCATGATAGAATATTTCACATAGGATTTGAATAGGTAAAGCGCAGTGCACCTGCACTGAGTTGGCGGTTTGTAGCTTTGTGCCCAGAGGGAGAACTCCAAAAGGGAGACAGAACTGACAAGCAGCAACACAACTCACTACTCACACTGAGTCAGGCGGTCTTTTCTGATATTTAAGCAGTTATGAAGACACCTGTCAATTTAGGCACTGGAAAAAGTGGAAAACAAAGCAGAGGATCAATTCTTCCCTTATCCACAAGTCCATCAGAGATAGGTCATTCTCTCCCCATGCAGTTGAAACAACTCACCTTAGAGCAGAGATAAAACATACGTAAAGCTTTGCCAAAAAATATCACATTTTCTTTCAGACAAATTATGAAAAAGGGATGCACGTGAATTAGGGTGTCTGTAATCAGGGCTTTTGCTGCTTTGGACACAACTTGGTCTTGATACAAAATCTTCGTAGCTACGCAAAGCACTTTATGCACATAGAAGAGTCAAAGTTACCATGGAA